TATAATTATCTAACCTTTAACTTTATACTAAACGCTAATCCTAACGTTAATGAATTTTAAGAATTTTTACTATATTACAGTGATCAACAAAACCTGGCACAGATTTTTTGAGTGCGACTTCTTATATAAGAAACTACAAGTTTCTAAAAATTATATTCTTCTTTTTTGTTTTGCATATCCAAAAACTAATAAACTTCATTTATTAATTTATATAAAAAAACATTTGAACTATATAATAACTATTTTAAACACCCATTAACAGATTCTATTTGAGAAGTTAATATTATACTACCAGTAAACTTAAATTATATGAAACAATAAGTTCAATAAATCTTATTATGATAATACTTTTATATATGAGTTAGCATAAGAAAAATTTTGACAGATATCTTCAAATTTTTTTTCAAACATTTCTTTTGCAAACTATTCCAACATATATAAAATGTTTTAATAAATTTGCCATATTCATTTCTAAGAAACTTCTTAAGTGCTTATTAATATTTTGTGTCAAATAAAAGATACAATGAATTGGATAGCTTTGTAAAAATACTTTGTAAACTGCTAAATCTACTGTAGAATTAGCATTTGTAATTATAACTGCTAGTTGCTTTTTGGTTACTTTTAATATTTTTTTAAACATTTAGATGTGTGACTCTATACTTTCATCTAGTAATAGAGCTTGTGCAATAAGAATATTGCATTAGTGTTAATTAAATTCTACAAACATTAACAAAGCTATACTATAACAATTCATTTTATATATGACATCATTTAAAATACAGTCTGAAAATTGTAACCAATATTTAATCTGTTCAGAAGTCATTTATAGTAATTTGATAAGAGTATTATCTTTATCTTATCCTCTAACAACCACCTATTGAAAATCAATTTCTTTTTAGTTATCTAATCAATTAGACATCAAGGTTGCATTATTTAATAATGATTTAGAAGTTGGTCAAAACTTCTGAATAGCAGCATATAGGTCCTTGAAATGTATCAGTTATGCAAAATACTTTTATTCTAAAAATTTTTACTATATTGTTATCTGAATTTACAATGGCATGTTAAAAATTTGATATTCTTTAACATTTTTTAAATGAAAACTTCTTATTTTCTTGGAAATCAATTATTTCAATACTTAAGCAATAATTATGTTTATTAATAATCTTATTTATATAAATATAAGATCTAGAGTTATTAAGCTTTAGATATGAAGCATTAATGAAAAATGAACAATTTATTTTTTTGGTAATTGTATATTTTTTTGTTATAGAATAATAAAAATGAACATAATCATATAAGTATATATGCCTTCTTATAATTCTATTTTTATAATATATATAATCTTTTTTGTACAGAACATATTTTTTTAGCCCACTTGCTAATGAATAAATCACATGACTTTCAATCAAAAAAAATCTTAGTGCTGAATAAATCAGAACTTGTAGGCTCTTCAAAAGATAATGATAAATTAGTGTTTTCAGCTTTATTAATGTATTTAGTATAATCAGCATTAACCTCTTTAATCACATTAGCTATAAAACTAGTATCTTCAGTTTCATTAATATATTTAATATAATCAATCTCAACTACTTCAAACATATTGAGAACCTAAAATTACACATATTGTATAAGAAAAAATTCTAATAACATCTAATAACAAATAAATTAGAAAAAAAGATCTAAAAAATATAAAAAAAAAAGACCTAATAACATAATAAAAGACTTAGTAATACAAAAAATACTTGGCAAATTGAGATAAAGACTTAAGCACAAAAAAAATTAGCAATATAAATAAAGGCCAGTGATCCAAAAATACCTGATATCATAAAAAAAAAAAAGACTTAGCATGTAAAAAAGGGTCTATAGATATATATATATTAAAAAAAAGATTTGACCAATTCTGTAACTCTTTTCATAGATCACTTGTACTAAAATTTTACTAAAAACATTTAATTATTTCTCAATATCTTATTAAGTAAACTTTACTTGTTCTGTTAAGTAAAGTTGCTAAGCACACTTTTCTTCTCCTAAGTAGCCAAGTTTTAAGTCTTTATAACACTTGGCTATTGAGAAAAGTTCTAAAAACCAAAATTCTGGTTTTTGTTAATTTTTTAAATATTTTATTAAATAAATATATCTTGCTACCTATTAGAAAAATACTAAGCATCCTGAGTTGGTCATTTTGATATATAATTTATTATAAACAAACAAAACCTCACCAAGATACAAACAAAAAGGTGCCTAATACTTTTCATGATGGTTATCAATTACTAGAACTAATACTCAGTCAATATTCCAAATACTATACTTTTAGAAAACAACTTCGAAAAAACAATATACTCTATTTAGAGCAATTAAGTACTGCAGACAATAGTATATTACTTAAATGGCACCACCTTTCACCAAGACTTCACAATCTAACAAAAAGAGGCAACCTTTTTGGTTTACCTATCTGGAAGATACAATTCTATCTGACAAACTACATCACCTAATCCTTTTACATTTTCAACCTTCAGAAGTTAATATCTTCACATATAATACTTTACCAATCAAGAAAAAACTTAAATCTTGGCTACTTATCTACAATAATAATAATAAAGAGATCATTATTGATAAAATTCGCAAATATTTTTCTAACACAAACCAGTTCTCTATCTCATATTGGAATATGAATATTGATTTAGAACATAATCACTATTATCTACTTCCAGATCTAGATTGCATATCATGTACCAGATGCCATCTTAACTCAAATAGAGTTAAGCAAACATGCACAATTAACATCTCAGCAACTATCTGTACTAGCTTTTTAGGAAGA